GAAAATCAAATAACAAGAGTTAAAGAAAGGAGAACAGAGTGGCGCGAATACTTGACAAACAGCCAAAAACCGGAGCGTAGGGGGGAGGGGGATACAAAAATGTACATAAAACACTAAAATAGGATGAAGCAAGAAAAATTAAGAATTAAAAACAAATCAAAATTTTTTAAAAACTGTCAGTAAAGAAAAACTTTATTTGCAAAGTGGGAAGGAAAGACAGAAGTCAAGATGGAGGGAAAACTTTAATAAAAGCTTCAAAACGAAATTCGCCAAAGGCTTAAAACTAACAGGAGAAAAGGAAAAAAAAGTCTAAAATATGTTGACAGCCATTATATAAAATATTGTGCCTATAGTGTACTGACCAAAATAAAGTTTTTAAAAATGTAATAGCCAAATATGCATCAAGGTTTGATGGTATTCATTATATTATTATGATCATTATTTGTACCCACTGTATTTTCACATCAGTATATAATGTATTTCACTAGAGAATAAGCGACAGCAAATCTCTATATTTCAGCAATTTTCTGGGTGTTTAGCATCATTTAGCTGTTGTTTGGATGGACTCGATTCTTAGATTAAAAAATCTTTCCAAACTTTTTACAAGATTTATCAACTGCTTCTCTAATTATGGGTGTAATTATTATTTTTATGTTCCACATATTTTTGGTTTTAGTATCAGTTATATTTTTGAGGCTTCACAATATTTTTGCTTAGGTGAAATAGGGAAATTCAGTGACTTATTTTCTTCTTGTTTATAAATAACTAGATGTGATCCTTTTGGCTAGATCGGGTGTTACGTTTGAATATAAGACAGAGTATTCTTTTTACCAAAGACATATTATTATTATTTATACGCCATTTGTTTGGATGGTCAAATCTCCGTTGTTTGCATAGTTACTAATGGATCACCCTGCCCCTCCAATTACTTTTTTTGTACTCAGTGAGTTCTACCTCAGTAATGATCTTGAGCCCATATTAGAGAACGAATGACAAGACTCTTCAAGATTTCAGCATTTTCCTTACGTTTTTTTAAACCGTAATGTCGGTTCTCCATAAGATTTTTCAATTCTTCTACCATTTTTATTTTGCTATTCTTCCGATTCACGATCGCTACGACTGCCACTTTCTTGATACATAAAAAGTCCAGATACATAGCCAGCTTATCTATGATTTTTTTTTAGTTTCATTCTGTGGTCCGCTCGAACAGTGAAATTCATTATAAGATACCGTTTTTCTCATTGTTCATGAGGGCTATATCATATTTTCTAACCTGGAGGGTCTATTTCAATATAAAAGATATATTATTTTATAGGTTTCATTCTCTAACACAGATTATGGTTTGTGCATTTACTATTGATATTTGTAGTCAAATCTTAGTCGTTAAACAGATCTTAGTGAATTACACTTTGCATACATTTATGTAGCTTAGATGTGGCACAAGGTCGAACGTATGAGGTGCCCAATGAGAATCGAACCCACTATTCAGTCGTAATTGATTATTACACCACGTCAAAGCATCCAACTTTCCAACCATTTATGGCTTTTAGTATTCTTTCTAACATTCACGTATTACGTGTTTTATTTTTTTTGTCTGAATTTGTTATTTGTTTACTATGAATTTTTGTCTTTATATAGTAACAAATAGTAACAGTTCACCATTAGTGTCAATTTGGTTTCTCCATTTAGGCTTCTTTTTGCATTTCCATTGATTTGCTTTTTGCTTTTACCTACGTCTTAAGGTAACTTTTTTTTCTTAAGATGTTATTGAATATATCTTTTATATGTATAATACGCATTAGAACAATCTTTTGGATTTGATATAAAGTAGGATTATTATTTTAAAAAATATTTTTTGCCTGCATTTGTTTATAATTACATACTGGTTTATAACCAATGGACTGGATTTTTTTATTTTAAATTTTCACTTATTTAAACAAAAGACTGTCTTTTAAAAAAAACATTTAAATGGGCAAAGCACTTTACATATGAGTTGTGTTTTTCATAATTCTTTTTGTATTTTTTTAAAAATATAGTGTAACAGATTTTCTTTAGCAGACCCAAAGTTTCGACCACAACAAAACAGTTTTAGTTTTAGTAAGTGCCAAATTCTATTATTATTTTTTGGCAATCTTCCCTACTACTTTTATTATTACTGGAATAGTGGTTGTGATTACAGGCCACATTCATGTAATTTCTATTTCTAAGTATTTATATTTTATAAATTTGGCAGATGTTTTTATCAGACAGGATGACCATGTCAAAGCCATAGTAATTACGTTTTTTTTTTTAAACCTTTTATGAAATCTGATCAGTTGGTTTGTATAATGTGCTTTCTATGTATGGTCAAGTCTCGGAGAACTGTAATATTTTTTTTTACGTCTTATCACTGGTATTCTTTAGCATTTGTAAGGTCATAGTGTTGACATATCATCCAATTAATTTATTTGCCTATAGTTAAATTTATTTCCGGCTAGGGTAGAGTAACCAGAGATTAGATGGTTAATAATTTCTTCAGCTTTTGTACAAAAAAGATATTTATGGATCTGCCCTATTCATTAAAATATGCGCATGGTTGGACGTTGACAGATTTTGATCTTGAGCAGCTTGGAAGAATCCATCTGTTTGTGGTTCCAATCCATAGATCCACAACCATTGATGGCTTAGGTTTCTGTTAACGTCAGGGTTTTGTCCTCGTAATGAGTATTGACAATGTAAGAGTTATTTTCCTTTGATTTTCAATTTTGTTTGGCCTTACTTTTTTACTTTTTGTTTGATGTTCTTGGCTTTTGCTTTTTGAATTTTGCCTCCTATTTTATCTTGTTTATACAAATCTTGTTTGATTTTTTTTTACTTTCTTTGATAATTCAATGTACCTTTTTTTGTTGGATTCGTGTTGTGAAACACACTTTAACATTCATTCAACGTTTAAACATTATCAATATTACGGTTTCTTTATTCTTAAACAAAGTCAACTATTAAAGTTATATTAAAGTATATATTCGAGTATAGGGCGAATTATTATAATCATTTTTAATGCAAAACATAAGTAATTTTTTAAACAGTTTAAAAGTCAAGCATTTTCAGTGTTCGGTTGTACTATACATACTTATTTTTTTCTGGAAGGGTTAAAATTCATGCATTCTCGATGACCGTTACCTAACTGATAAGCCTGCAACCTCAAGGTAACTTTGACTAACAATAACGGTGCAGGTAAACCACCTTTAGCCTGCTTCCCGTAGCCTAGGCATGAAAAAAGCAAGAGTACAGTATTTAAATCTTATTATCAGATATTTTACAATAAGTGTTTTTTCTCATCATTTTGGAGTAGCTTTGTACAAAAAAGAATGAAGACCATTTATTTGATATAAAATATGTCCAGGATGATGCCCAGTAATGCAATGTTTGACTACGGTTGGCCTATTAGTATTACTCGGAAGCTGAGGCTGCATTATACACAAGCTATATGAAAAAGTCAGGTTTTACATAACATCAAAAATTAGGGGAAGCACTATACATAAAGTCGACTCATACATGAGTATTTATGGTAAGTGATATTACCTCTTGGCTAACCTTAAAAAGAATGAAGACTATTTATTTGCTATAGAATATGTCAAAGATGATGCCCAGTAATGCAATATTTGACTATGGTTGGCCTACTAGGATTGCTCAGAAGCTGGGTTCAGATTATACACAAGCTATATGGCAAAATCAAGTTTTTTTTTCATAAAAAAGAATTCACAGGTAGCACTGTGCCTGAAGTAAACATATAGACGAGCATACACTGTATATCAAAATTTATTTCAGTAGCTAATGATTAAAATATAGCTTGCTTATAACAAAATTCGTCATTAATTAAATGTATTATATGTATTTCTTTATGTAATATGTATTTCTTTGTGTATTTCTTTATCACTCTAAACGTAATTTTAGCGGATACACATATTAGAGCTGATATCCCAGTAGCAACTCAATACCTGTAGCCACTATAACTACCATTTATAGTAATAAAGAACTAATTTCCGATAAAAAAATGCATGGAAAAATATATCTATGTTTATTCATATATGTATCTGGCCAAGTGGTTATAAAATCCGGGTTCGAATCACGATACTACTGTTTAAAAGTTCCTTTAAACCATACCCCAAGACTTGTTTGTAAAATTGGAACTGTTCTGAAATAGTAGATGGCTATAGTAGGTATAAACCATACTATGGACCATGAGTATATCTATAGGTTATAGTTAGTTTGGAGGAGTGCAGAAAATGTTACGTACACTGTATGTTTGTATGGCTGGATAATTATAACGCTCTGTTTCTAACGATTTCGAATCTCACCATGGTCGATTTGTCAAGATAATGACATCTTGATGTTTTTGGTCTCGGGGAGGTGATCCCAGCGTGCGTGCAGCGCTTTTGAAAAGTGCCAGAAAACCATAGTATGTGTCGATTCAAGCATTGTGGGTAAAATTGTGTAGACGAAGATGTTTGGAAGTTGCAAATGATTGTGTTAGCACGAGGCCAAAAGTCATCGTGACCGAGATTTTTTTTCTTTTTACTGGCATTGTTCAACTTGTTGATGGCGCCATATTATGCGCCGTCTTCCAGAATGTCCGCTAAGCATAGTAACAGTATGCACCACTGGTGGTTTCGTTGGGTGCTGAAGAAACACAAGTGTACGTGTCCACAACAGGGATTGTCAAGTCTCCTTGGCAGGTGTGCTTAGAAAAGAGGAATTGAGCATTATATTTGCATTTATAAAGCGTAAACGAAATGTATCCAGCTATTTCATATTTAAAAGAAAAGGTAAAAAAAAGAAAAAAAATGAGAAAAAAAAAGGATAAAGAGAAAAAAGACGAAAAGATGAAAAAGAGAAAAAGAAAAGGTGAGAAAAGAGAAAAAAAGAAAAAAAATGAGAAAAAAAGAGGAAAAAGAGAAAAAAGACGAAAAAGAGAAAAAGAAAAGTGTGAAAAGAGAAAAAAGAAAAAAAATGAGAAAAAA